TTCTTTGTCTTTGGAGAAGCATTCCAGGGCTAAGTCAGGACTGCAAAGTTAACTTTTTACAACCCCTTTGGGATGTTTCTCAAGACACATTTTGAGGCTTGCATTAAGGGTAGAATTATTCTATCTTAAAATGATATACTAAGAGTCGCCATCCCCTGCAGGAGCTGAGGTCTAATTAGAGGAAGTCTAGCCATGGAGGGTGCTCTGGAAGGGGATTTCAAGACCGACTGTGGTCCTTTCTTTATCTTCATTTTTGCTTCCTGGCTGTTGTGAGGTGGACAGACCTCTACTTCCATGTACTCCCGCCATGAGGTACTATGCCACACCAGGCCCAAAGCACCAGGGCCAAGTGACCATGATCTGAAACCATAAGCCAAAATAAATCTTCCTTCTTAAAAAAATGACTTTCTCAGGTATTTCATCACAGTGACAGAAAGCTGACTCACATAGTCTGATGAAATTTACAGTATGCTTTACCTGAGCCTGTGCATATCCAGAACCTCTGAATTTGGCCACCTTTGTGCTGAGCTTAGGTCTTATCCTGGAAAGCTCACTGAGATCAGGTGCTCAGCACTGGGGCTCTCCTGGGTGCATCCTTGGCCATTCTTCCTGTCACTCTGTGAGAATCAGGCAGGAGCCAGTCTACCTTCTTGTAGTTGAAGGTAGGAGAGGAGAATTAGCAAAGAGAATGCAAATATTTCATGAAATTTCCAGAGTACATAACTGTTCTTTTGTTTACATCATATGACAGACTAGTGTAGAGAAGTTTCTTGGAGCAACACAGCCCTGGCTGGGAGGATCCCCAGTTACTTGGGTCCCTGTACTCAGAATGGAGGAGAAATGTGAAGAGATTTCAGGAGCACCAGGAAGAAAGTCCTGGCTGGGGTAGTGGTGTGAAAGTTGCTGCAGGCACTGTTAGCCACATGATGTGCCTCTGGGCAGGTCTTGTCTGCTGGGATCAGAGATGAATGAGCAGCTCATTCCTTAACAAATCATATGTAGTGTCTGGTCTGATTTGTATCTGCCTAAGAACTGGATTGCTGCCTCTTCCTCAACCCCTCTTGATTCACTGGCAGCAGCACAACAGGGTCAGTAGTACTAGCCTCATACTGCATATGTAATAACTATATTTAAAAATATACATTGTTTTTGGTAAATATATAAGATCTTACCACACCCTAGTGAGGTGCCCTTTGAATCTCTTTGATGAAGCCTGAGACAGAGTAGATGGCTTCTGTGGTCTCCATGTGCTGAGATGATTTTTTGCCACATTGTATGTGCAGTTTCTACTAAGAAAGCAATTAAGTTGTATTTTCTTTTTTGAAGCCTATTATACTAATTGTATAAATGTTAATTAAAATGATGCTGCTTCCCCACCTTAAGTTTCTGGTGCTCTCTCTCCCCACCCCCAACCCATCAGTAATGCACAGTGCACAGTGTTGAGCGCCTCAGCACCTCCACGGGCCTCTATTTTCCTTTGCCAGAAGGATTGTGAATGGAATCCCAGGACTGACTCTGGCCTGGGAGTTTGGACAACTGGGCCTTCTGGAAGGAGAACCATGGGGAAAAGTCCAGGGAGTACGTAGAAAAGAATCTCTAGGGCCAGACTACACAGCAAGACGTAGCTCTTCCCATCCACATCATTCTAGGATTAAGCTAAATGGGAGACCCTGAGAAAGCATTTAGTAAAAAAACTTTTTCTTAGTAGATTACAGAAAATTACTTCTGTTGACACACGTCCATTCTTATTCATGCTGTGGAGTTATTATTAGTGAGGTTCTCTATCTAGCAAGGTCACAGGTGATATCTTTGAGCAGGGATTTTGTTCTCTGGTCCTTGGACACCAGCAGGTTGCTCTTGCGATGTTGCAAGACTTGGGTTCTACTAACAGAGTGACTGAGTCAGTGTAGTCTTTCGAGTTGGGTTTATTTTTTTTTTATTTTTTGGTTTTTCTCCGGTACCAGGAACCGAACTCACGACCTTGCACTTGCCAGGCAAGCGCTTTGCCGCTGAGCTAAATCCCCAGCCCCTTCGAGCTGGGTTTAAATCTGCCACTTACCCTTTCTGTCACCTTGGCCAGATTTTTTTCTCATCTATACAAGAAATGTTAATGACTACTATACAGGCTCTTGTGAAAGAAAGAATCGTATAGAATAATGTTAAGCCTGAAGTATTGCAAACTTTTAATTCACATCTTATGTTGCTTTTGGGTGGGCTAATGACAATCTCTGAGACTTCAGTGCTGGGCTGGGTAATAATTATACCTTATACCTCCACAGGGTATGTCCCCCAAGTCAGTGGGTTTCCAGTTCTTAGGGTGGAAGAGAAGGTACAGAGGAGAGGAGGTAGGCTGACTCTTAAAGTCCACATTTAAGTAAGAGTGGATCCAGGGTCTAAAGTGTGCCTAGGGCTGCTGAGACACCAAAGCTACACATGTGTTTCTGGAGATCTATGTTTTAAAATTCCATCAAGTTTATAAAGTCTAGTTGGGCTTGCATCCCGCCTAATAGATAAATCCCAATCTGTTGTTTGGGGTTAGGGCTTTTGGAATAACAGCCCAGTACATCTCCATTTCCATGAAATCAGAAGGTTTAAATTTGGACTCTCCATGCTGGGGGAAGTCATTCCCTTAGGTATGGAAAGTCATTGCACAGTATGCCACACTGGTCCAGGCTCATCAGCCATCTGATCGCATACTATCTTTGGATGAGTCACACAGCCATGATTCCCCCATTTAAGAGCTAAAATATGCAAGAAAAAGCTAGTGGAGGAGAGAGAGACAGCCGATGAGGCAGGTAGCACCTGGGCCTTTTCCTCACACTGCCTCTGGGGAAACTCAGCTTCTGGCCTGGGCTCCCATTGGTTGCTGCTCTCGGCCTGGGATAATAAAGCTGGAGTAACTGCTTGACTGCTGTTGCTTCTAGGACCTAGGTACCACCGCTATGGGGAAGTACCTGCTGCTCTTGCTGTGCTTCACCTTGCTGTTGGACTTCACGCAAGGTGAGCCTGTGGGGATAGGAAGGATTAGGGCTGGGCCAGCGGACTAACTGGTGGCTAGAGATTATTGCTGGGCTTTGGGGAAGTGTGGGGCAGGGAGCAGGGCTTTTAGAGGCAATTGCCACACTTCATCACCCATACCTCTTTCTCTTCTTTGCTTTCTCCACCTTGGGCCCACCCCACTCCTCTCCTCCTCCTTCAGGCTCCTCTGCTCTCCTTCCTCAAATCTAATCCCTGCTAGTCCTAATTCCTCCAGCTTTCCTCTGGATAACCCTGAATTTGAATTGGAAAGGGGACAAGGAACGTTCTTTGCAGAGGATGAAGATAAGCAATAAAAGGACATGGAAGAGTGGTCCCAGAAATGGGATATGCCCTGAAGCAAGCCCTATCTCTTCCTTCCTGAAGCCTCGTCCATGCCTGGTAGTGTGTGGGGTGGGAATATTTTAGCTTCAGTCCTGCAAAGCCCATGAGGGCTTCCCTCAGGTATCTGCTCAGGGGAATGACCATTTTCCCTTGTCCAGCAGTCAGAGCCACTGTGTTGGCTGTCTCCTGACCATTGAGGCCCCTTCTGCCTTTCCAGGTCTGACATGTATCCAGTGTGATCGGACAAATGTTAATGGAGTTTGTGACACTAAGGAAGGCTTCTGCGAGACTCACAGTGGCCAGCAGTGCCTCCTGCAGAAGATCTATGAAGGTAGGGAGTACCTGCTGTCAGGGTGTCCCTTGCCTGGACTTGAGGGAGGTGACCCTCTTAGGAGCAGGGTTCGTGCTCCAATAAAAGTAGAAAAGGTTTCTCTGGCTTTGGTACTGGGCTGCCATAGTTTTGAGTAGGCCAACGGACCTATTAGGGGAAAAGAATGCTTGTTGAGGGGTCTCTGAGTGGTCTTCAAAGATCTAGGTAAACATATTCAGAAGTGACAGAAATTAAGACTGTAAAATCCCACCGGTAGCACTTTTAGAAACTGGATGTCTGCATGTGGGCACGATTAGGGGCTGGAGATCAGCTCAGAGAGGCCACCTCAGTCATCTCAGAATGGCTGATGTCCCTGCTCCCCTAGGAGCGTGGCTGCAGGGTAATGTGCTGTTTCTCCTCGTTCACTGAGTTGCTGATTCTGTCCACACATATTCATTGTTTACTCCCATCTTTCTTCCTTTTCAGATGACAAGCTCCAGTATGCTCGGCAAAGCTGTAGCAGCCTGTGCAGCCCCATGTCCCTCTTCTACACAAAATTTAAAGTGGAGTTCACGTGCTGCAATAATGCATCTTTCTGTAATAAGCTCTGAAAGGCCCAGCCCTCCCTCTCCCTCTCCTATGTTCCACAAAGCTTCCCCGCCCCCTTCAGCCTTTCTCTGTACTCCTGCAGCCTCAGCCTTAGGGCTGTCTTTTCCCAGCACAGCCCAAGACCTGTTACCTGCCTATACTCAGCCTCAGGCATTGCTCTTTCAACAGCTCCATCCAGTTCAGGCAGATGTGCTCTTTTTCCAACCAGCCCCAGTGCTCCTTCTTCCCTCTCTTCCTCTATCCTTCTTGACTGGCACAGAGCAAGCTCTCCCTTCTCTCCCTCTTTTTTCTTCTCCTTCTTCTTTTCCTCTTCCTCCTCCTCCTTCTTTTTCAAATATTTTCTAATTATTAATCACTAGAATTAGGCTCTGAACATGCAATAGTGAATACCAGATTGGACTCCTGCTCTCAATGGATCTTCAGTTCTGCCGGAGGACAAGGGCTTCAAAGTCTAGTCTCTGCCTTACTCTTGGGCTCGAACTGATAGCCTTGGGCATGCTGAGAACATGCTCTACCGTTGAACTCCACCCCAGCCCTGCATTTATATTTTGCAGGCACTCACGCACTGCTCTTCCTTAGTCTTCTGGAAACGCTCCATTTTGTAGCCTTTTCACTAATAAATACTGTCACGTTTGACCTTGATGTTGTTTGTAATTGTTATTTATTTATTTTATTGTTAGTAGTAATTTTTTTGTTTTGTGGTACTGGGGATTGAAAGGCCTTCACCCTGAGCTATATCCCCAGACCTTTTTTTATTAAATGTGTGGGTCAAAAATCTTAATATATTCTTAGTAAAAGTTCTGTGTCAAAGACATATATTGTGAATAATCTCCCAGTCTATACCTTATCTTTCAAAGTTTCTTTTTTCTTTTTTTTTTTTTCTTTTTGAGACAGGGTGTCGCTCTGCAGTTCAGGCTGGCCTTGAGCTCACTTTATAGCCCAGTCTGGTCTCGAACTCACAATGATCCTCCTGCCTCAGCCTCCCAGGTGCTGGGATTACAGGCGTGCGCCACAGTGCCTGGCCTTTCAAAGTTTCTTAAACAATAGTTTCCAAATATATGTAGATTACAAATTTAATAAAATTGTCAGTTTCTTTTATGACTGCTATGGACTCAGTGTTTGCTTCTTCTTGTATCTGTGTTCATATGTTAAAGTCTTATCCTGAATGTGATGGCATTTATCTATTTTTTAAAAATATTATTGCAGGACTGGGGGTTGTATCCAGGGCCTCCCCACTGAACTACAGGTCTGAGACCAGGTCTCAGTAAATCTCTAAATTGTTGAGGCTGGGTTCAAATTTACAGTTCTACCTCAGCCTCCCAGAGTGCTGGGATTATAGGTGAGGGGCACCTCTCTCGGCTGTGATAGTAAGAGGTGGATATTTGGGAAGTGATTAGGTCATGAGGGTGGAGCTCTCACAAATGACATTCACACCCTCATCAAAAAGACTGCACCACAAGGTGGGGTGTGGTGGTGCACTCCTGTAATTCCAGCACTTGGGAGGCTGAGCCAGAAGGATTGCTGTGAGTTGGAGGCTAGTCTGGGCTACAAAGTGAGTTCAAGGCCAGTTTGAACTGCACAGTGAAACCCTGTTTCAAAAAGAGCCCCCTGCCCCCCCCAAAAAAAAGTGTACCACAGAGAAGGACTGATTTCTTCTGCCATATGGGGTTGTAGGGAGACAGGGGCACAAGTCTTCATTAGACACTGAATTACTATTAGGGCCTTGATTGTAGATTTCCCAGCTTTAGAACTGTGAGAAATAAATTTTTGTTGTTCATACTATTTAACTCCCAAATATTTGGAGATTTTTGTTATCTTTCTGTTATGAATTACCAGTTAAATTTCATTACAGTAAGTAAACTTCCTTTGTAGGATTTATTTTAAATTTGTTAAAGTTTTATGACAATATAGTCTATCTTTGTGTATGTCCTATACACTCTTGAGAGAAATACGAACTTTATTATGTGTTCTACAAATGTCAGTAAAGATTAGATTGTGTATAGTTTATTCAGATATTCTAGCTAGTGATTTCTATTAATTTATCTATCAATCACTGAGAAGAATTTTGAAATCTGTAAGTCATATTATTATGAGTCCATCTATTTCTCCTTTCAGTTTCATTGGTTTTTCATTTGTACATCTTAGAATTCTGTTAGTGCATAAGACATTAAGGATTATTATATTTTATTGATGGATTGAAGTTTTTGGTTACTAATATTCCTCTTTCTATAAGATGATATCCATTGTTTTGAAATCTACTTTATCTGAGAATAATACAGCCACCAACTTTCTTTGGATTAGTGTTTGTTTGATATGTCCTTTTCCATCTTTTATTTTTAACTTATCTATATTTTTTCTTTGAAGATGGAAATTTTTTTTTTTTTTTTTTTTT